AAATCCCTTTCCTCAGACATGTCTAGTTGTGAGGACAATTCTGTCAAGTTTCAATTTCATGTGTAACTAATGCAATGTCTCAACATTAAGACATCCACATATGAACACCTTTATATGCAGCTGATATCTCTGGAAAAAGATAGAATTGGACATTGAGTTAAGATACTTTTTTTTAAAATAACATATAAATGTGATATCTCAATCTATGATTCCAGCTAAAAGTGTATTGCATCCATTGCGTCAAACCATACTGCACTACACCTACAGTGTATATAAATCCATAAACACGTTCATGGTAATGTAGGGTTATTTACGTTTTTTTAAGTAAGTCTGTTCATTTCTTTGGTTCAGTAAGCTGAAGACAGCAGGTTTGTATTGAGATGCCACACAATTTGTATTCTTTGCAAAGTTGCAATCATCATAAAAGTATTTTAAACATATACACTGCTCTCTGTTTCTGAATATTATATAACTCTTTTGAGTCACCTTATATGTCCCAAAGCTGATAAGACGAGTAATGTGTTTTAAAAAAATATATTTATAGCCATAGCCAAAGCTGCTAGTTCGGTTGTGATGAATGCAGAAGCAACACTGAAGCAATCATTTTAAGTCAGAGAGGCAAGATTTGCTGCTCTATATGGGGAAAAATAATCTTTAAAAAGCACTGATTGGTTACGAAATGATCCCAGGGAAGTTCAGCTGACAGGCACCACTGCTATTTTAAAAGCAGAACAATATTTTTGCAGTAGCCTAGCTTTGGCTAATGCATTTGTTACACATTTAATTAAGGAAACTACATTTTGTATATAAATCATTTCAAATGTTCTTCTATTTTTCTATGAAAGATATTGACATTAATAAACATATTCTATGTTATATTACAGGCAATTATTCTACCCACTCAAATAAACACACCATGAGAGTGAGTTAAATGTCAGTCTCTTTCCTTCTGCAAAAGGCAGCAGCTCCAGTTGAGGGCAAGTGGAGCGGCTGCAGAGGGGAAATAGAGTCTTAATTTATTTGGTAGAAAAAGAGTGTAGGAAAAGCAGGAGGCAAATTAGTTAATTGGGCTGAATGTGTCCGCTGGGGGCCAGAGAGAACATTCAGCAGAGTTTAGGCCCCATCCACACAGAGACGAAAACGAACTGAGGTCGATATCAAAAAAGTCTTCCGTCCACACGGAATCAGCTCAAGAAACGTGTCCGTCCACACGAGACCGCTCGACCCGCTGGAGACGCTGTAGTACATATGCCGGGCCTGTAAGTGGCGCTGTACTTCTTCCACAAAATACACCAAAAGCAGCGAATAAGACCCCCCGAGCATGGTTGCCTGGTTGCCCTTCTGTTTATTCTCCGTGGTGGATTTAGCAACATGTAGTTCATGTAGTTCTCCATGTCCACTTGTTGCTGATGGTTGTGGTAGAGGAGCTGTAGATTTTGCACTAACATCTGTATCATGGTCAGTAGAGTCTGGAGCACGAACGCAACCCTGTGATCCACCATTGTTGTTGTTGTTGGCGAAACGCATCAGCAATGACGCGGTGACGCGGGGGTAAGCAGGAGAGGTGGGGCTATGATCGTTTAGGGCAGCGGTTTTCAAAGTGTGAGGCGTGCCTCCCCTGGGGGGAGCCAGAGCTTCAGGGGAGGCGCAGTTTGAGAAAAAAATAACGAGAAACAGTGAAATCTAGCTAGTTAACTTCAGCTAACTTTATGCGAGTGGCAACATGGATCGATTTTTAGTGAAGTTACCTAAAGTGAAAGAGGAGACAGCGTCTGGCAGAAAACGTCACTTGCACACTTTTGGCTGTCTGTGGAGACCGAGTTCCCCCACCTCGCCAAAAAGGCTGTAAAAGTGCTCATTCCCTTCACCTCCGCCTACCTGTGTGAGTGCGGGTTTTCCGCATTGACTTTGATCAAAAGCAAGTACCGGTCAAGCAGGGGTGGATCTACCGGGGTGGCATTGGGCAAAAGGGGCAAATAGCCTAGCTGCCACCCCAGTTGGCAGCTTTGTTTTGAAATAAAAGTTGTGGCTCATCGGACATTTATGAGAGAAAATCCCTAATGTCCGAGTGCAAGTGAATGCAGCACAAGACGCAAGCCTTGTAACCCCTCCTCCGGCCCTGGCGCGAGCGAGGAAATGTGATTGGCGGCAATTTCATTTGAACGGGACGGCGCAAAACGAGAAGCATTTGGACCCAAGTAGACGGAAGGAATGAGGTATTTGCGGTCTACAATGACAGAGAACTAGAGACTGTCAAGTTTGGCTGTACTCAGCATTGAATCAAAACGCACTAAAGCTTTAGATCTTAATAAGTTTGTGAGGCATTTTGCTGAACAAGATGGTAATCGCCACATTCAGCTGTTATAGGCATGCCAACTTGATGCTCTGCTCACGGATGACTCGATGAGCATAAACAACTGTTAAGATGATGACCTTACGTGTGTAAATATTTTTTTTTCTTTGTGGGGGTCTGCCCCCAAAAAACAGTTTTAAGTCCTGAGAAAGTCAAATAGACGGTGTGTAAAACTACACTGCCCAGCAAAAAGTAACCACTTTGATTTAACTAGGCCAGTAGGTAAGGGCATTCCACTGGATTATAATACCCCTGCATTATAGCAACAACAACAATAATAATAATAATAGCAATAATAATTGGGAGGGGGGGCGCGGCTGTTCTTATGTTCTCTGAGGGGAGGCTCACCTTCCCACACTTTGTACACCCGGTGCCGCAAGCGTTACGTTACCAGACCTTCCCACTTTGGGATGCGTTATCGTTTGAGGGCTCCGTTTCCGCGGTTCCGTTACGGCCTCGTGTGGACGAACCGTCCATACGATAAAGAACTATAGCGGATAACACCCGTTTCGTCTCCGTGTGGACGGGGCCTTAGTTTGTTCGCTGCATGGCTGATGTTCCCAAGAAGTTACCAACAAAGAACCACCAAGTGGGGAGAAGATTGGAGCTGAAAATGTTTCCTTTCTCCAGTTGATCTTATGAGTTAAAATAAAAGTTTGTTTGGAGATCCACTTCAACAGAAAAAGAGCTGAGGAGGATCATTTCTGCAGAGGACTACTTCATTCAACAATCCCTCTCCTCTACAGATACGCGTATCAAACCCACACAAAAAAACACACTGGTAGATGAACATTGACTTAATATTTTGTTTTGTTTTCAAATCTCCTAATTGTTTTTTATTTTTATTTTGGTTTATTTGGTTTATTCCTCTTCAACTTGAGTGAGGTAAATGAGTTGAAGGACACTGGATTTCACTGGGGTTAATAAGGGCTAAAGAGATCAATTGTTTATTCATTGAATATTATGCTGGTTGTATGTGTAATTGTAAGTTCTCTAGCTTCATCATTCTACTCCTCCTTGAAAATAAGCAAATGTGCATAATACAATAATAGTTATATATATATATATATATATATATATATATATATATATATATATATATATATATATATATATATATAGAAGTAATAGTTAAGTGTTACATATTAATTGTTACATTTAATAAAATGAAACTATTGCTATTACTACTTTTATTATTACTACCATTAGTGATTTGGAATACATTTATCCTGTCACTTAGCCTTTTAACATCATACATTCTACTTAATATTCATAGTTGACCTTGCCATTTAACCAACCATATTGGTGCATGAACTTGTCACTACAAAAAACGTATTTTCAGTCCAGCTAAACTGAGCTAGCCATGCCTGACTTATTTTCTGCTTACCATACTTTATTGAATCGACTTGTTGTGGCAGTATTGTTGATATCTCTTGGACTAATTTCAAGTTCTCTGCTTTTCTCTCAAGGTAAGGTGTTTGTTTTTTTAATGACGTTTGCGTTATGCTACTTGTTTAAGCTACGTTAGTTAGCCATCTAGAATAAGTTTTGTTAGCAACATGCAAGCAGTGTGTGTAGAAATAGGCCTACTAAATGTCCATAGTAACATTTGTATTTGAGCTATTAGAAGTATTTTGACATCATATTCTTGCCATTTTTTTATTTCTGTTTTTCTTTCTAGGTAAGTTTTTTTTACAACATTTGCATGTTTGAATTAAGCTACTTGTCTCAAGCTATTTTAGCTAGGCATCTTTTACGTTTGGTCAGTAACAAGCAACCATTGCGTGTAGCATTACTACACTTCCATAGTTGCATAGCATTGGAAATTGTATTTGATTTATGAAAAGGGTTTTGACTTTATTTATATAATTGTTCATATATTCTGCCTTTCTTTCAAGGTAAGTCTTGTTTGCAATGGTTTGTGCGTCGGACTTACTTTATGCTAGTTATTTCAAGCTACTTCAGCTAGGCAGCTAGCTATGAAAAGACATTATCATAGTCTTTAAAATCAAGATTAATTGGAATATGGCCTGAAGATAAAATGTGTTTATTTGAATTGTCGAGAGCTGTATCTGCACTAATTTGTTTTTAATTTGATTGAAATATGTCAGTTTATTAGAATGACTGTGGGAAGGCATACCTTGTGCTTTTTTCATTTGTTTCTTGTGTTTCAGGTATTTCACTAACTAAGCACCAATTTTCAATGGATAGAACTACTCTGACGTCTACTGCATCATGTGTGCTGGTAACCTTAGAAGAACATTTTAATATCTATGATAGGGCCGCAGCTGCCAGCTTGCAATGTTGATGCAGTGATAATATTTTCGTTTTTCATGATATCTGACCACCTCAACAAAATTGGGAGGCCATGGTCAGCCCCTACATTTGACCTACAAATTAAATATCTGTCCCAGACCAACCAGCCTCTCCTCTGTGCCAAGTGTTGCACCATCTCACATGTTCTACTGACCTCAGGTTGGCTAAAAATGACAAGGGGGCGGGAGCCTCACAGTGAGTGGGCAGACCGACCACCATGCAGCTGTCATTGTACGGCTTGCTCGGCTGTGACTGTCATTTCCCCCTTCGGACTGACTGGCAGTGGTAGGGGGAGATCATGAGTGGGGTGGTTTAGCTCATTGGACAAGGAGGGGGGTGCTGTGCAACTTGCTGGATGGGACTTGATGCTTGCATTCAAACAGAAGACAAGCAAAAACAGAGTTCAAAGCTGCTGGGAATTAAGAGAAAACTCGCTGAAGAATCACCTTGTTCTGAGGAGAAATGACACGCTGATGGGAAATGGTTTTAAAAGGCTGAAAAGTCAAAGAACATCGGAAAAAGGAAGGCCGTCACTTCCAAGAGAAGAGTCAAGGCAAGGGAGCTGTTAATGCAACATGATCCAGTGGGTCTTGCCCTAAAAATACCTCAGGACAGAAGAGTGGCAGCAGTCTCTATCTGCTTAATTACTTGGTAATCACTTATTTATTTTTCTTCTTTTGAAAACTGAGGTTAGAGAACAAAGATTTGAAGAGATATGTTTCAATATATTGTAATTCGGTTTTCCAAGTAAAAGAAAGTTATCTTACATTTTAAAATGTGATCATTTTGTTAACTAAGTTATATGTGAAGCCTTCTCATAGACTCACTGTCCTCAATTGATTTTGGTTTAGAGTTCTAAAACAAATTCTGAACAGGGACAGTAGCCCGATATACACAGTAAAAGATTCCATTGTAGGGTCTACCCAATAAGTTCAACCATGAGGAAAGCTGAGGTGCAAATGACCCTGAAAAAGGGGGAAGATAAAGCTGCTACACCCCCGAGCCCCATCATCCCACCAAAGCGGTCCAAAGCGGGCCCAGTGCAAGTTATCCCGGACCCTCGAGGACTCGGCTATCCCAACCAAACTCCACCTGTTTTTGCACGCAAAATGAGGAACGCCGCTGTGGGGACGGGCTGCGACATCCGTATGAAGGTGACTGTGGCCGGAGACCCCCAGCCATCCCTGTACTGGTACCACAATGATGAACTCCTCAACATGGAGAACCAGGAGTACGGAGGCCTCTGGATTAGGGATTGCAAACCAAGTGATGCAGGCCTCTACACCTGCATCGCCAATAATCACGTGGGAGAGGCACGGAGCAGCGCTGTACTGGCTGTCCTGGATCTGGGGGAAGGTAATACTGCTGAACACACTCAACACTTCACACTTATTTTAAAATGTTATTCGGTTTTAAATGAATTAGTGTAAGGAACTAATGAAGCTTAATCAGAATACTTTATTTATCCTGGGGGAAATTGGGTTTTGTGACACTTGCTATATTTTATCATGAAATTAAATATATTATACTTAATGTATTCAGAAATTTGGCAAGTAAATGGATTTGACTAGAAAACAGTTCCTCCTTCAGAATAATGTAGATAGCCTCTGATATAACTGATATGATCTACTGCATTGTTCCATGTATTTAAGAATATAAGTAATGTCATTTTAAAGCTAACAATGAGGTTTTAACTACAACATATTTTGTTTTAACTTCCATGAAAATTACCCAGCATTCCAAAGTCATTTGTAGCTTCCTGCTCCATTTGCTGGACATGAAGTGTTTTCTTCTGATCCCAACCAGGATACAAGCTACTACTGAGACCTATGTTAATGCTATCATATTTAACGATACAAATCATCAGAATACTTTTTACTCCGGGAGCGATTGTATTTCAGACAGTTGCTCAATTTTACAAAAACAAATAATAATATAAACAAATAGGATACAATATTTTGATAAACATAGGAAAAAAAAGACCCCTAGGTGCAATTTGTACATAAAATAAAAAAGTATACTTTCAGTTTTTATTTAGTTTGTTAATGGGCTAAATTGTTTCTTTAATTGTTGCGGTACTTGCCAGCTAATGCAAAACCTTTCCCCCCAAGTTATTTGGAAAAACACATTTGATTGGATTCACAGACAGAATTGTATTTGTTTGAATGCTTCAAAACAAAGTGTATAAGAATGTACATTGTTTTTAGATACAACTGCTCTATATGAAATGTATATTACTATTTTTTTCTTTTATACATTTGTTTAATTTAATTCACATATACAAATAAAGAGGCTAGATTTAGTTGTCCTAAAACATCTGAAAATGTGGACAAAAGCTACAAGCATAGGTAAACTGGTATTATACAGAGACATCACTATCAGCAAGAAACTATAGTTGAATAACTGGTGTCTTATACAGTTTGGTGAATGGATAACCATATACTGAACAAATTGATAGTTGAATAGGGTCAGGTATTTATCCAAAATGAGTCAATGATTGTTATTTCCATCGTGCAGAGGATAGAAAGATGGTTGTTGTAACACACAAGTGACACAGAGGAGGCCTATAAGATTCCTAATTAATTGTTTGTATTTCAATCATTATAATAAACAAAGTATATACGGGACACTATTAGATATCCAAGTGATAATATAGAATATATTCTGAAGTTTGAATTATAAAACTGAGTTTCGAATAACATTTTGAGCAGAACATTTATTATACTTCCACCATGCAGAGACGCTGATAAATCATTTTTTAACACATGCACTGCAAATTCGGCCAAAGGGAGATTTTGAGTGTATTACAGTCCCATTACTCAAGGGAGCTCCGAAGGCCTCTGTAGCTCGGTTAAAAAAAACGTCCACTATGATCAACAGCATCTTGTGATCTCCAGCACTGATCTAAATTCTGCTCACCTGAGAGCGTTTTGCCAACTCGGTTGCTTTGAAAAATGACAATACCAGCTCCACAAATATCCTCTCATATATCAGCTCAAGTAGTCTGTCATTGTTCCGCAGTGTGAATGCGTAGAGGAAACTCACTCTTCAATTTAAAACAGCCTTTTCTTGCTGAGAGAGGATATGTAAAGACTCTTCACTGCTGAATGCAGTTTAACACGAGTAAAGTTTCTGCTTTCTCTGACGTAGAATAAAGGACTGGCTGCGTACATATTGATATCTGCTTAGTGCAAGCTCAGGAGAAGAAATTGGTGATAAAAAAGTGGTGATGACTGCAGACTGGGCAACGTGATGACAAGGATTCCTTTTAGTGTGGGCAGCGAGAAACCACAGTGTGTTACATTTTCTTAACAGTATGAATATGGGATGCTTGGATAGAGTCCACACCAACAATGCACCATCAATTCAGTACTGCCACATGAACGACTTGCTTAGTTTACAAAAAAGATGCCATTTCAGGGTGGGTCTTGGGAAAGTAATTGAGTTATTTTCTTGTAAAATACTTTTTAAAAAACTTTTTTTTCAGAATATTGCATATTAGAAAATGAAGCAGCCTATCATTTTAATAATAAAATAATACCAGTTTCTTTTAGCGAATAGTCATTCATTGGTTAGTATCTATCTTGAGTTTGACAACATTTACTTTCACCCTTGATCCACAATTTCAAATATTTTATGGCAGAAATGTGTTGTTTACACACCATCACTGTTTCATATATACTATTATTGCGTGCGTCCCATTAGGTGAGCCCCTATATTTTGAAATACATAAAATAGAGAAGTAAGATGAAAGAGCTATTTCACCACAACCGTGTGATACTGTATGATGGCAGTAATCATATTTACACAGTTCACTGAAGACATTCCAAAAAACCAAGCAACAAAGATTTCCATGGCTCTGTGTTACGACTTCCTGTAATACATTATTTTGAGTGATATTGTAATTGCAATATGTTTAGCAATGGAGTGACTGATCATTTTGAAACATTCACCTTATCTTGTGATTATTTTTTGGAACGTACAAAAACAAGGCTTTTCATTCAGTCTGTAGAATACCGTTTATAGGCCAGTTTCTCTGCAGCAACACAATGCTTATTTGAAATATTTTAAAATGTTGGCCTTTACTCAATGTTGCGCTCACTACGATTTGGATGTTGCACTAGTCAATAATGTGATTTTGATCAAAACTTGTTTAACTATGAAGCCCTACTTGTGGTAGATGCAAAGTTATCTACAACTAGACCGATTTTTAGCAACACAGGTTATATTATAGGGAATTCAGAAGCAGTGGCAGCCCGACAGTATTCCTAGTATTCAGTAGTGATAATCTTCATATCATATTCTCTAGACGTGGCTAGAAAACAAGTTTTCCTTTGGTTCTCCATTTTAACCTTCAGTTTGATTCAGCTCTCTGCTGCTTTGCCATGTTAGTATCTCCAGCTGTCCCATCACTCTCTGAAACTGCTTGAACCCTTTCTCTCTCTCTCCCTCTTTGAAAATGTCCCTCTGTACCGCCCCCCCTCGTCCACCAACTCTCCATAGTTATTTATACAGCGGAATGTGCCAGGCCTTAGATTTTTGTGATGTTAGCAGGCCAACGTCTCTCCTATTACACAGGAAGACATCACTGCTAATTTTAGCCCCGGCCCTCTATGACTATTTTTCCCTCCACTGATCAGTCAAAAGAGCTGATTCCGAATCCAGAACATCGACTAAAAACGCAGGAGCATAAATAAGTCTCCCATATTTCGAAAGTCGTGCATCTTTGACGATCTGTATTGTTTTCACCGAATAATGTCTCTATAGGCTTACAGTTCTGCTTTTGATGTGCGCTCAGCTGATTATGAAGACAAAAAAAAAAGGAAAATGGAAAAGTTAAAATAATGAAATCAAAGCTAAAATTAAATAAACATAATCAATCTACATTTTAAATTCAGTTTAAAGAAAGGGAACTAAAACTAAATTTGAGGCCCTAAAACCAAAAAGAATACCTGGATAAGTTTGCTCCACCCAGTGGGCGGGGCTTGTTTTGGCTCGACTGTTTTGAACATGGCGACTGCGTCACAACATTTCTCATTTAACAACTAAACAGTACACTAAAATATGTTTCGGACGTAAGAAATAGTGATTGCAGAACCGTAATTATGATATATATTTTGGCAGTTTGATGGGAGTTCACGAGAAGGGATGACACTGCGATAGAGACTCCTCTGCTCTGATTGGTGGATTTCCTGCTGGCGTGCTGGAATCTTGTGAATGTCATTAGGAGCTCTGAGGGGGGGGGGCGGGGGGAGAGGTGAACTTGGTTTCCCCACCAGATTCTGTCTAATGCACTTCGGGATATAGTGACAGTCTAAGCAAATATGATAGTGTTTTTGTAATAAAGTTACCAATGCAGATTTAAAGCTTGTAGGTAAGATACTCTTTTGAGAGATCTAATACAGGGAACTGGAGATGTCACAACTAAGCATGACCATGGCACCTTTCCAGTATGTTCAGATAGTTTCCTCACCATGTTGTCCTCCTCCTGGACCATTAATGTGTTTGAGCAGGTGTAGCTGCTGTGGAAATCCCCTGCCGCCCATGTTGCTTTAATAGGAAGTTAGAATTGATAATAGAAGATCAACAAATGAACGTTGTTTATTGTGTAAGAAGGTGATTATGGAGTCTGTTAGAGTTTAGTAGCAGGCTCTTTTGTCATAATCACAGCAATCTGAATTAAGGACTAGATTAGGGAAAATACTTTGAAAACAATTGTACAATTTAAGGGTGAACAATAGCTAAACATTGCAGCAAATTGCAGAATGTTCGGTTTGCCAAATCAGCTATATAAGGAGAGCTTAAAGGGGACCTATCTGTCTTTTATACATGAATATGTGTCCCCGGTGTTCCAGGGAACTCGCCAAGTGTCAGAAAACACAACCCTCTCTATTTTCCTCCATACCCAAATCTCTAAAAAAGGGGCTGCAACGGATCTGATAAAAACTGATCCAGATTTGAACACTTTACTGACGTCAGGAAAGTGGCGCTACGGCTATTGGGCCAACTCTCCACCTATCAGGGGAATGTGGGGTTGGGCCACGGCCGGCCATTGCCGCTCGAAAGCGCTGGAGATGCTGTAGTACATATGCCAGGCCTGTAAGTGGCGCTGTAGTCTGCCACAAAAGCAGCGAAGAAGACTTGGTTACCATGGTTACCATGGTTACCCTTCTGTTTATTCTCCACTGTGGCTTTTCTTCTCCCTCCCCGAGGCAAGCGTTTGCTCCCGCTGCTTTAATTCAATGCAATCCCTCCCCGTCGAGGCAAGCACTGTAATTCTCTCCGGTTAGTCCACCAGCAGATGACAAACACCCACCTCTCCGCCTCTTCCAAGGAACGAGGGGACCGTGCGGCAG